TTCAAGAGTAAAAAGAATCCTCTCCCAGAAGAAAGAACACTTCCACACTCAAGGCCCACCAGAGCCCAGGTACTGATGAGGGAGGCCACTACTGTGGTGGGAGATGCCCCCCTTGATCCAACCCTCAGCAGGAGTCCTGGAGCTGCAAAGGCCATCCTTCAGGCTAATTTTTTGCTGTAATGGCACCACCTACTCTACTGCTCACCCTGCAATTACATAGGAAATGGACCCAAAATTGTCCTTGAGAGACTGGACATGACTCTTGCCAACTGGGTTTGGCTGGAGGCCCCGATAAGCAGTAATGACATTCAAGGCAGAGTGCCATAGTCACACGCTGGGCCAGACCTAAGGCCTCTGAGACCATCAATGCTGCTGGGCAAATGATGTCAGGCCATGGGCTGGCGGGGAGGACTGAAATGACTCCCATTTCCCAGTATTTTCTTTCTCTAAGAAAAGGAACAAAAGTGATACTAGTACCTTCCTGCTTATATTCTTGGTTAGAGTGATTTTTTGATTTACAGATAATCTTCATGCCATGGTGCTTCATTTATTAAAAATCATGGCCACATTCAGAACCCAGGGCATGAAAGAGGCACTAATCCAAGGACATTTAATCTGACCTAGGCTGGTATATTAGTTATTTACTGCATAACAAATTACCATAAACTTTAGCAACTTAAAACGACACACATTATTGCCTCACAGTTTTGGTGGGTCAGGAATCTGGCACAGCCTAGCTGGGTCCTCCAATCAGGGATGTTCATGGGTAGCAATCAAGGTGTCAGCGGGGCTTCAGTCATCTCAAGGTTCCAAGCACATGTGGTTGTTGGCAGGATTCAGTTACTCATGGACTATTAGACTGAGGGCCTCAGTGTCTCGATGGCTGTTGACAGGAAGCTGCCCTCAGTCCCTTACCACATGGCCCACCCCAATATGGCAGTTCACTTCATCAAAGCACACAAACCGAGAAGGCAATGGAGAGTTAGCTAGCAAGAAGCAGGTCACAATCCTTTGAAATTTAATCACAGAAGTGACAGCCTATCATCTTTTCCATATTCTATTGGTTAGAATCAAATCACTAACCCAGCCCCACTCAAAGGGAAGGGATTATACCGGGAGGGTATGAGACCAAGAGGTGGTCATGGAGTAGGGGTGGAGGGGTGGGGAGATGGCAATGTGCGAAGTCTGCCTCCCACAGATAACAACAAGAATTCACCAGGGTAATCCATAAATCTCTAGTGTGTCTTTTTGAATTTCAGTGCCTAATTAATGTCTTAGAATGAAGATAATGTTAGAAAATGCAGAAGTAAAACATCCCTTTTATTTATAAATAGGTCTTTCTATTTTCACCACTGCTTTGGAGATAACAAAACAAAACAAAACAAAACAAAACAAAGCAAACCTTGAGTAAGGAACTGGGTCAGTGCTCTTAGAGGTGAGGCGCAATGAGCTTAATCGTGGCTGACTGGCAAAAATTCAATTCTGACGTGTAGTATTTATCTTTTCTTCCTCCTAAATGCCATTAAAATGACAGTGAATGAATGTAAAAGATTTCCCATTTGGCCCAATTTGAGAGGTAGCACCTGAGAGGTAGACAAGGGAATTCAACACATTTCTGGAAAGAGGAAAGTGGGAACCACAGCCAAGAATTAACTGGAAGGAGCTGCAAGCTGTCCCTTCCTCTGCCCCTAGGCATCTATCAAAGGAAAGGAAGTTAACTGAGGTAGCAGATTAACCAATCTCTTCACCGTCTCTGGCCTAGCTAAAATGACAGCCAAGAAAGTATTATTAATGTCTTGATCCACAAGGTCGAAGAGAACACGAGAGGATTCAGCAGTGGACAAGGGTGTTAACCAAAGTATTCAAAAGTGGAAAGCAGGTGGAGGAGTGTAAACGACCAAGCAGAAGTCTTAACCTAAGATGCTGCAGACGGAAATGCAGATGAGAAATAAGCACGACGCTGGAGAGACTCTTGGGGACAGCAGGAAGGCAGGAGGAGGGATGAAAACTGAGGCAGTGAAAAGTTCCTATACAGGACCCTGGCCGGAGGACACAAGGAATATCACAGATCCAGACCAGAAACAGTGAGACGGGTTGGCTTGATGAGTTACTGCCTTAGGCCTCCACCTTTCTCAAAGCCATAGCCAGGTGCTCAGCAATGACAGTTTTGTTTTGTGTGTTGGTTGGCCTGCTTCCATGAAACAGGAGGGAGCAGTGGGATGGTGCCCAACCCATCTATACTGGAGCATATTTACACCACTCACCCCATAGCAGCTGAACTCCCAGCCATCACTGGCAGACCCACAACTGCAATCTTGCTCAATGTTTTAAATTTTGTTCTTTTTCTGACCCTTGGAATTATTTCTCATTTTTGAACCAGCCTTTTGTTTTTCTCTTTTTATATTTTGTGTGAAGTTATTATGCGTTAGCAGCAGAGGAATTGATAAATCATGAATTCACTGTGCTATCTCAACAGAACCCTTATTGGTTTCTAATATTTTATACTAGAAAGAACCAGAGCTCCTAGGTGGAGAAGTTGATTCTACAGAGCAAGAGAACTAAAACTAAGAATAGAATACCATGTAGACCATCAAAGATATCCAAAAGGGTGACAACAGAATCAAAGAGGCTAAAATTGTGATGAGCATAAAAAGAAAACAAGGATTACTGCCACTGGGACCAACTGAGTTGAGTTGGGCCCTGAGTCCATTATGATGTTCAAAAGATACAAATAATAGAAAGTGCCAAAGAAGTCACATGCTCCAATCTGAGTTAGTTGATTGATGCTTGACTCATGCAGCATGCACTACAGGAAAGTGAGCTTGACTGTGGTACTTGAACCAACCTCAGAATCAGAGGGACTTGGATAAAAGAGTATTTTAAATTGAATTCATGGGGTAGACTATAGGGAAATGAGCTGAGGTAAAAACTTTGGGCACTGACTTTTCTTCCCCAAGATGAAGCTGGGGCCTTGTTTATGCTGAGCTTATAAATATTTCTCTAAATGAAAGCATATAGATCTTTAGGGCAAGTTTTTCTAGAAGGGTGAGGTAAGCCCCAATATAGAAGGGCAGTGGGATAGCAAGAACTGAGCTTTCCAGAACCAGTGAAGTCCTACCTTATATAAAGGCTTACTGGCACCTAGAGACACATTGGGGACCTTGGGGGACAAAGGGAGTCGTATCTGTTCTTCACTTCCACAATAATTTTATAGCTTTGGCTAATTCCATGAGGAACTTATTACAGCATGTAGGGGTAGGGGCCCTCCCTGCCTATCTAGTTTTACTTGAAACACTTCAGAATAAGAAAAAAAAATTGAGGATATAGTAAAAGCAAAAAGAGGTAATTAGAACCCCCCCCCCGCCCCGCCCCCAGGGAGAAAGAACTGTGCAAGAAAAAAACAGTTGTCTAACTTCATACGATTTACTTCTGGAGTAGACAGTATTTATATAATCATAGTAATGTTGCTTTTCAGCTTTTAGAATAAACTTTCAGAAAAAGCACAGAAGATTTCATTATGGTTACACAATAAAAAGTAAATGTTAAAAATTTTGATCGTGTATAAGGACAAGATGCCCAGAGTTAGATGGAAAAGGGAACAGAGTGCTGGGAGGACAAAGGGGTCACCAAGTAGGGTGACAAGGCATCCTGTCCATTGCTAAGGCTAGTAAAACAAGAACCTTTTTGAAAGGCTACTGGGTAGAATCTTGGGATTTTTAAAGTGTATCTAGAAGGATCCAAAAGAAGCCAGCAATAGTTGCCTCTAGAAGGTGATCAGAGTGGCTGAGGAACAAAAGAGGAGAAGCCTTTCACTGTAGATCCTATCTTTAAATTTTAAACCTTTTAAAAATTTTTAAATAAAAATAAAGGTACATCATCAACCACCTAATTTCCAGGACGACTGCCATCTCCTGGAAGAGCGCATCAGTGCATAAGACCTGTCCAAGGCATTCACCAAAACTGTGCAGCCACAGGCAAACTGTTGGACACACTGCCATGTCTGTTATGATAAAGATAGGGTGTACTATAGAACCACCATAATACGGAATACCACACAGAGAAGAATCAATTGGAGATCTGTGGATGGACGTGGGAAGGTGTCCCTAACACCTTATTTAATGAGACAAGTTCCTCAACATGTATAGGATCTCATGTTTGTATATTTAAAAACCATATGTATATTTGATTTGCATATGCACACAATATAGTCTGGAAGGACCACAGCACACTGCACAGAAGTTACTTCTAAGGATCAAAGTGAGAACAATTTCTACCTGAACATGTCTTATTTGAATTATGAGATGTCTGTATAACTTGTGGAATTTTGTCAATGATTTTCTCAGAGCATAGCACACTGCCCTGTCAAGTGAAAAAGGATTTGAAGCAGAGGAGTGAAGTAGTGAATTCAGCTGACGAACTCCCGGGAGGAGTCCCCTCTGAACAGCTCTGCCTCCCTTGAGAGGAAGCACATCAGGGCAAGGCTCGATCCATAACAAAGTCATTTCTGGGTCAAATGCACCGAGACCCATCAGCGTGGTAATCTGCCCCATCTGACCTCTTAAATCCTCAAAAAAGTAGGTAGCAAGATCTTGCATGACCAGAGTCAAGGTCAGAGTCCCTTTATCATTGTAGATCCCAAGAATCACCAAGAAATGTTTCTTGAATAAATGACTGCCCAGGACAGCGTCCCCAAGCTGGTTTCCAAAGCCTGTCCAACCTGCGGCAGCACCTGTTGGGTGTTCTGGCCCCACAGCAACTGGTCAAAGAAACCTAGGCCTGTGAGGGCGAAAGGCTGCAGTGAGGCAAATGACCAACGGCTGAAGCCGGTGATTCCAGGACCAGGACTCAGCTGCCAATCAGCAGTGTGGCTGTCTTGGTTAATAACGCACGCGCGTCTCAAAACCAGCAAGGTCATGGAACTTCCGGCCCCGTTCAGGCCTGGAGGGTCTGTGCGGCCCAGAGGCCTCCTATGATTTTGGAGACAACACGCCAACACCACCCACAGCTGCTGATTGTTTATTGCACAAGAGACTGGCAATACCGAGGCAAGAGGTTGGGCGTTACAAAACAATCTGGTAACCAACCCAAAGCTACCAAAGGACATTCCTTACAGACACACCTCAGTTATATACATGTACATACACACATGCGCACATGAACATACTCTGAACACATGTGAGCCCGAGGCTTCCAAACCCCACATGGCAGCTTGCACCCCGACCCAACATGCCGAGACGCTTCAGGGAAGCACAGCAAACAACTCCGGGGAGAAAAAAGGCTGAGCTGCAATGAGCTGAGCCACCCAAATAGACACACCCAACACAGTAGCGGGCTGTCCCTCCACAGGCCGGGGGGAAGGACGAGGATCCGGGAACGTGAGACTGTCCTCAGAAGGCCCATGGCTGGTCTAAGGGCCTGCCTGGGGTCCTAGGAAGCTGGAGTAGTCTGCAGCTGATGCTCGGTGATAGAACCCTGGAGACCTGGACCAGGGAGTTCACAACAATCACCTTTCCAGCATCCCACAGGACTGTGTTCGTCCTGAAGGACTCAATACACGGCAGAAGCCCACAGCAGAGCCTAGGAGGGGCTCCGAAATCAAGTCAGACTCTGTGCAGCAGAGGCCCTTCTGCTGGCCTCCACGAGCATCTTTTCCTGTGTGCAGACAAAGCCTTGCTTCTAGGCAAAATAAACACACTCTGGGGTGGCCAGGACATACTTCATTCTTAACAAGGGACTAACAGGTCCGCCTAGAGGTCTAGAACCCAGATGACTACACCTAGCAAAGGGAGTTCTCCTCTATCAAAGGCGGCAAGGTTGGGCTGGCACCAGGGCACACCCCCTTCTCTGTCAAGGCTCGGGGATGAGGCCACTGTGAAGCCGAGCTGCCAGGTCAGGCCTGTCTGAGCTCGCAGAACTGCTGAGCAAGTTCCTAAGAGGAGTAGCTGTTTGAGAAATTCTTGGACTAATGATGCTGGGTCTCTCAAGGTCTCAGCAACACCTGATACACCAGCTCCTTGACAGAAAGGGACAGCAGCATACCAAGAACACAAAGGAACCCTACACACGAAATGCTTCAAGTTTATGTAAAGGGAAAAGAAATTCTGAGTTTGCTGTTTCCATCTCACTGACATCCAAGCAGCTGACAACCCTTTATTGGCTGGGAAGAATGAACTGGCCAGCCCTGAGTGGAGAGGGGCCTTGCAGCTCAGCCCCCATGGCTGGGGCTTGCTACGGGAGGAAGCAAAACAGCCTTGATCCAGAGCTCTGAGTGTGGGAAAAGCTCTCTCAGACCTTCATTTTATACAAATCACTGGAAAACTTCTATTTAAAACAGAACCTCTTTTACTGGCAAAGACTCGGGGATTTCTTAGCCCAGACAGCTACCCAAAGTGGCTAGTCTCCTCACCTAACTCCCCTGGAAGGCTTGGGGCTTCTGCTGCAGCCCTTCCACACAGGCACCCTCCTTGCACACTCATGCACACCTTGGGTTGGTCTTAGGGGAGAAGGAGGGTGAGCTTTGCAGGTTTGCTCTCCAGACTGTGATGGGTAATGAGGCCACGGTAACTGGGGCCTTTATTCCAGACTGCCACCAGTGGGTATGAGGGAGGGTTGAGCAGGGCCTCTTGACGTCAGACTCTGCTGCCACTGGCTGATGACAGTGAGGTCCCATGCAGGGCCACCATTTGTGGGGAGGGCCTCCCAGGGGCTGCGGCCAGCGGCCTCTCAGGCAGGGAGGACTCATGACTACATGTGTGCTGGGGGAATGGGAGGGGACAGCGTCGGTTACTCCTGTCCAAAGCCCTCTGTCTCCTCGATGGCATACAGCAGCTTCTCTTTCAGTTGTTCGTAGCTCTTGTATGGTGGGAGATCCAAACGGTTGAAACTGTTGAGAGAGGGGAATAGTACAGTCTGCATGGGAAGGTCAGGGCTTTAATAGCCTGACCCCTGCCTGGCTGAGACAATCAAAAGTTCACACGGCTATGGCACAACCACAATGCCAACTAGCTGGCGAGATGCTGAAACAGGGTCCTCAAGGACCCTGCTTCGTCAGGCCTTAATGCTTCAGGTTCCTGGACCATAGAGGGGTTAGGAGATGGTTCAGGCAGCTGAGGAAGTGGGGATTCGGGTAGGAGGGCACTCAGGGCAGCAGCTCTTTGCCCACTGGAATACTAATGTTTAATATTTAATACCTAGTGTGGCCATCAGGGTACATACTTGCTGTCACAATTCCCAATAGACCAGAGGCCCAGACAAAGGTAGCCTGGGTACGCCACAGCTCCTCGTCTCCAACCCAACACCCCAGAGCCACATGAAAGTTGCTGGAGTCAAGGTCCCGAAGCCACTCTGCCCACTGGGCTGCTCTTAGGTGCTCATCTGGTCCATCAGGTTCCAGCCACCTCCCACTAAAATCAGCAGGCTTACCAGGTATGGCTTCTGGGCAGCCAGGTTTCCTTGCCAACCTTGTCAATGCAAAACTTCTGTGGTCCATTGCTACCTGTTATCCAAAATAAAACACATGGTATGTAACAGAACCATTCCTTCCTAAGTCAAAATGCTCCAGCACCACCCTCAGATGGCTCAGCCCCAGAGGCATAAGCCACAGCTCACTCCCTTCCCGCTGACTTGCTTCTGGGAAGACACTAGGTCTTGCCTTCCCTCTGAACTGTCCTCACCCCCACCCCAAGGTGCCACAGGGCAAAGGAAAACACACCAATGAGTTCAGCAAAACCCCCGACAGGCAGGCGGCAGGTCCCAGTAACGAACTGTAGCAGCCGGATACTCTTCTCATTGTCCATCTCCTTCACCACCTGCAACTCCGAAAGTCAAGGTGGAGTCAGGTGATCCCTCTGGCCCAGCACTTCACCCTGACTTGTAACTCTCTGGTCAGCCATGGCCCCTCTTTGGGGCTGATAACAAAGCCCGGGATGGGTGGGTACAACAGCCACCAAGCTGGGAAACCCCGAAGCCGCACCAAGAGATGGTGTTTGCAGAACTTTCCCACCAGTCCATGGGATATCTGTCTGTCTCTGGGGTACCTCAGGCCAGGTATTCTCTCCCCAGCCAAGTTCTGCTTTTTAAAAATATACAGGTTTCTTTTTGGGGAGACGAACTGCTCTGGAAGCAGACAGTTGTAATGGTTGCACAATATTGTGAAAAACCACTATAAAAACCACTGGATCTTATACTTTAAAATGCTTAACATGTGAATTTTATAGTATGCAAATTCACTTCAACCAAAAAATTTACAGATATTCTCTTTTTCCATGTTTGCTATACTTCATAATGACAAGACCCACACATACAAAGGAACCAATTCATTACATCCAGGATGATGAGCTCATTTTGTTTCCCTGGAGCCAACCATGTGTTTTCCCATCCCACCGGGCTGGAAGGAAACCACACGACCTGCGGGAGCATTCCTTCCTCTCTGTGGGCTCCCCTGCCGCACACGGGCATTTAGAGCTGACCCCAGCTGACCACTGATGCTCCTGTCAAAGGCACTGGCCACAGCCCAGCTACAATAGATCGGTTTGTCCCAAGGTTGGGTTTCTTATCTCCTTTTGCAAGCTGGGGTAGGTGAGGAGAGCGTCAAAGATGGGGGAGTGATAACACAAGAGCCCGTGAGATTGAAATCTAATCAGCTCTCGTTTCCATTGGTGGACTGTTATAACGTCCCTACCAAGACCCTTGCCCTGACCTGGCAGGGGCCGGCACCAGGACCCACCTGCCAAAACCACTGGATCTGCTTGCTGTTCTTGGTATAGTGCCGGTAGATGGTGTTCTTCTGCCAGTCGCTCATGTCTATTTCCTGCATGCCGCACAGCATCAGCTGCAGAGGAAAAGGGTGTCAGCTACCTAGCACCAGCCCCCACTCCACCAGGATGCAGAGCTTTGCCCAGTTGCTGGAAGATGGCACCACCCCAAACACTGTCAACCATTTCTGATGGCATTTTTAATAATATGAATAATACAAATCTTGAACATGGACCCCCTCGAACAAGGGTCTGGGGAGGGGTGGGCGTGAGGACCCAAATCCAAGTTATTTGCCTACTACCGAATGCTGGGAGTATGGGGTTTTACTGGGAGTTTCTGTAGGTCCGCAGTGAGGCTATCAAAGGAAAGGACTGCTCCAGAGGCAGGGGCTCAAGGTCCCGACAACCTTAGCTCTCACCTCCAGCTCTTTCTCATCAAAGTAGCGCAACCACTCCAGAGGGACCACCTCGTTGAAGCCATCCAGGAAGGCCTTAGTCTGCTCTTCCACGCCCCGGGTGAAACGCCAGTCAGTCAGCAGCCTAAAACCAAAGACTAGCTGTCAGTGGAGCCCGAGACCACTGCCAGGTGCAGCTCAGGGCCTGCTATGAGGCCACTGTCACAAGGCAGCAAGGAATCAGCTGAGACTCAACTTCTAGCACAGCGAGGCCCAGGCTGCTGCCGGCCCCAGAGCAGAGCCTCTAACCCCACAGCAAGCTGGAGATATGTGAGTCTTTGAAATCTCTTCCTCCTCCTCCTCCCACCATCGCCAACTGAGCCTCAGACTTGTGGAGTTTAAAAGACTGAACCAAGAGACCTGAAGAATGCACACAATGTGCACACAAACACACGTAACATAGTGGATTCAAGCACAGGGGACACAGAAATCCTCTATTAGAAGAAAGAAGAGGAAGACCTCTAAGTTTCATGCCTCTTCAAAGAAATTCGGCCTGTGGTCTTGCAGTCTACCACGTAGGAAGAACAGGAGCAAACAGGAGCTGTAACAGAGGCCCCTGGCTCTGGCAACCCTGAATCTGGTCAGCCCATGACCAACTATGGGCAGCCATTTAAGGCCCATGCAAAATGGGAGGTTCATGTCATCCCTGGTGGGGTCTGGCTGAAGAGGCACCCAGAGACAAGAGTGAGAAACCCTTCCTCTGCGGCCGGCTGTGTCTCTGTTCCCCTCTCCCCAGCACTGGAGACTCACATAATGTACTCTTCCTTGTTCTCCTCTGTCACACGGATGCTCTCACCGCCTTCCTTCAGCTCGTGGGTTGTCACCTTGCCCAAAATCTCCATGTCCTGGATGAAGTACAGCTCTAGGCCACACTCTTCTAGGTTGTTCTCTCTGGGGGGCACGAGAGCACAGAGGGAAGATATCTATCTTAGAAGGGTCTTCCCTTCATCCTGCTCCATCACTCATTTTTAGTGCCCATGGGACAAGAAGACACACCAGTAGCCTAGAAAACAGAACAATAGCAAAGGCCCTATTCCTGACGCGAGGAGAGATTTCTGGAGCTGCCCTATGGGGACCTAGAAGCTCTGCATCTCCACAGGCACTTATACAGCCTAGGTAAGCGCACGGGGGCCACTATGGCTGAGAAAATGAAGGCCATTGGCACCTACTCCCCAAGCGGAGACCCCTCTCTGCCCAATGTGGGGCAAGGGAGGGGACTCACTTGATCCAGACGATGGAGTTGTAGAATTCGGGGTCGATGGATTCCAGGTCTTTCAGGGTTGGTCTCTTGTTGAGCATCCGCTTGTAGAAAGGGAGGGTGAAACCTGTGTCAATGAACTTTCCATGGTACAGAGCCTGCGGGGGGAAGAAACACAGCAAAGGAGTTTGATCTTCCCAGGACACTGCCCAAGGCAGGCTCTATGATGCTCTGTATCACAGCCAGGTTACTGCTACCTGTCCTCTGTCCCAGAGAGCACCTTGGCATCTAGCTACCCCAGGGGCCCAAAGAAAGGGTCTGGAAAATAAGTAACACTGTTTGTCATGACTGGGACCTTGGGACAGACATTCATCCCACCTGCAGACCACAGGGACCAAGCAGAGCTGGAAGGCTGAGTGCTTAGGAACCTACCTCCGGGCCCGCTGCCTGCCCAACACACCTGCCTCTTGAGTTCCTGCTCTAGCAGAGATTGCTCCACACTCACAGAGAAGACTTAGTCAGCACAGATCCAGGTGGCAGCCCTGACTCATGGACTCTCCAAACTGGGCAGCAGAGGCAGCCAAAAATAATGCAGGCGCCGTTGACGGCGAGAGCTGGCGGGCCAGTGGTGAGTAATAGTCTAGGGTTTTACTGGCCTGTCCTGTTGGTTGCTGGGCCAGGCGAGTCTCTAGACCTGGGAAGAATGCGCCCACTTCCTGAGCCCAACACCTTGGCCAAGAACTTCCAGACCAAGGGAAGGGACATATTTAGTCATGGGCTCCGGGGTCCTCCTGAGAGGGGAACAGGGCGGAACACTCAGGAAGTCAGGAAGAAGCAAAAGAAGTCAGCTGTGAAACATCTCAAATTACCAAATATAGCAACGAGACTGTGGCTCCCACAGACTCACCCTCCTCAGTCCCGGTTCTCCACTCTCATGAGACACTCAACAGGCTGCATATGACATGACTCCCTTCCTTATTCACACTGTGTTCCTATTTCTAGATAAATACAGATACTGCATTCGACTCCCCCTTTCCTACTTTGCCCTGCTCCTGGCAGATGCCTCCTGTATCTCACACCAGGCTACAAGGTTCTGTGCTAAGCTAGTGAAGATTCCAAATCCCCTTCCGGAAGGCTGAGTGTCTTAGCAGGTCACTCCTAAACACTAGTGACAGACAATGGCACACCCGCCCCCAGAGAAAGCAGCAGATGGTTAGGGTAGCACTAAGCCCCATCAGTCCAACACCCTCAATGGTACGTATTGAATGTTAAGTGAAGTCTGTGACCCAGGCACCCTAGGTTTCGCTTGACAAGTCCTACAAGAATCAACACGTGGAAACCCTCTCAACGTCCCTGGGTGGTCACTGAGAGTTCTGAACCATCTCTTGAACTTCTCTAGTTTTTTGAATTTCTAGTTAGGAGTTTTGTGAGGATGGGAGTTGGGCTGCTGTTGGAGTGTAGGGTCTGGCCTCCTGGGCTGCTGCCCTCCCTGGAGGTCTCATGACAATGAATCTTACCATGGCAATGAACCTGCCAATAAAGCGGAAGTAGGTGAGGTGGTCAGGGTTGATGGAGGAGGCAGGGTTGATCTGCAGGCAGTAATTGTTCTTCCCGGCGTATTCGAATAAACAGTACATGGGGTTGAGCACCTCGTGGGACAGGAGGAAAAACCACTCTCTGTGAGAGAAGAGAGAGAAAACAGGACTAATGGGTCCTTCCCTGCACTCCCATGCTGGAGGTGTGACTCCCCTCTGCCGTCCTACTTCAGCGTGGTCTAGTGACGTGTACACGCGAGTCAGGCCCCACTAGGATCAGCACCTAGACTAACCTGTATTGACAGCTGGTCAGTGAACAGGGTGGGGTCAGACATAGGGTGAACCAGGACAACAGCTGCACTTGAGGATGATGCTCAGGAAAACCCGTGTGCGTGAGTATGTGTATGTCGGCTCCCAGGGTACATTCTAGGACTCTACATTCGGTATCCAGAACGCCTAATGGCAAGGGGGCTCCTTGCACCCTGGGGCCACCAAGCAGTTGTGCAGGCTATGCAATGCATAAGGGCACTATGGAAAAATATCGTAGATTTGCACGTTATAACTTTCCTGCAAATAGTCAAGCAGTTTTTTTCTGATAAAGCCAGAATATTGTGACCATTTTCCAACATGGAAGTGTCCTGAAAAGGCCAGTTTTCTCTAAAGCTCGCAAAGGTGCTGTATGAATAGTAGTCACACCGCTCCCACCCTGAGGTAAGCAGCGCAATATGAATACATGGCAGTATGTTCTCGGCTCCTGATGCGTGAGCTCTGATCTCTGCTGTCTATGGATTGTAAACCTCACTTCCACCAGGTATGTCACTTCCCTTGCACTTTGCCCTCCCCTTACCCCAGACCCCATCGCCAGACCCTTTCTCATACTTCCATGCATTCATCTGAACCAACACCCATGCCTTAGTATCTCTTTGCACCCTAAGTATAACCCACAAGCCAGAATTCAGAGTCCTTCTGGGCTTGAGCTAAACCAGCAGGGGGCCATCCCAGCAGGGCCAGTCCTTGGCTGCTGGGCGGTTTGTGGCCAGGCAGACGAGGAGTTCTTCGATGCAGAGGGTGCCCCGGTATCCTGTCCGTGGTTCTACCCTGTGGTAGAACAGCATGACGTAACCTACCATAGGGTAAAACCACTGGCAGGACACAGAGAGACAGACACACACAGGGCGGGAGCGACACCAGAAGCCCACCAAGCAGAGCCTGGAGAGGAGGTCACCATGGGAAAAAGAGCAATCGATCCACTAGGGCCAACACAGAGGGCAATGCCACCAATGAACGGAGGACCAGAAGCAAGTTAACCCAACACCAAGCAAGAAGACGTCCCCAATCCATGAGAGGTGAGCAAACTGAAGGGTCACCATAGGCTAACACACTCCTTTTCTCTGCCAGGGCCCGTCAGCCCATTGTCCAAGGCAATGTTTGGCCCGAGAGTGTTAACTTTTATAGGAGGACTGCGGTGAGGGCAAGACAATGCTTTAGTTTCTTTTTACGGTTATAACAGCCATTTTAATTTTACTGACCCTGTGTACATGACACACAGATGAGTACCGATCAAGGCCCTTTGGATTATGACACAGCTTACACATGTCACATATATACTGAGACACCTAACTTAACCTGCCCCAGCTGCCTTAAGAGTAGGAGAAACCCAGGACTGATTTTAATGAACAACCACATGGCACCGATATTTAGCTGCTGCTCACGGCTGCAGCCGGACTGGTTGTTAAAGTACAGAAATAATGACATATTGGTTGGTAAAAGAACCATTGTCCCAAGCCCCTCCCCCAGGAGCCCACAGCCTCCCCATGACCCAGTAACTAATGGGTTAGTGCCTAGCTCAGCAAGGGACCCCAGGACTCGGCTCTTAGCACCATTCAGAATGGCCATACCCGCACCCACTCCTGAAGATGAGAGCACTGGCAATCAATCTGAGCAAGGAGGAGGCAGCTTTCTGGCCATTGGCCCAGCAGCCTAGGGAAGTGGGGTGCAGTGCAGCCTACCAAGGGTGCCAAGCTCACCTGGCAATGCCTCCATAGTCCAGGCCCTCCTCGCCGCGCATGATGATGTACAGTCGGCGGCGCAGGTCATAGGGTTTCATGTTCATGATCTGGAGAAAGAGAGCATCATGGCTAGCATGCCGCTCTCCAAGCTGGGGGTAGGGAACCAGGGGACTCCAAGGCCTGCTTTTCAGCAGAAGCCACTTACCAAGGCCCATGCCTCGGAAACTCTACCATGTGTGTTTAACGGGCTATGTGATAGAAGCGAGGTGGGTGAGAGGGAACCTTCGGCCTGCCTCCGGTCTTAGATACCATGATTATTCTCTAACCTGCTGGAAAGAATCCTCAAAAAGTGTCTGCCTGGAAACGCTGATCTTCACGTGGCTGGGAAGGGCATTTGACTGAAAAAAAAAAAGAACCCTTGAATCAGGCCTCAAGGGGTCACTACTCAGTCTGGCCTCCTGTCTGTATGAACAGGCTTTCCCATCTCCCTGGGCCAGTAGGGGAGAGCCTGGCCTCTAGAAATGGAAGCTGGCTTCCTGGAGACAACGTCAGACAACTGCTCAGGGTTAGTCAAGTGACCTGCCCCCAACTGACCAGATTCTGATGCCTGCTGCTGGGCTGGGAAGTCGTGCTGAAAAAACTCCATAACCCCAAGCTCTAGGCGAGAGCCCAGTACCAGAACTCACATGGCAGAGGAAACGGAACTGCTGATACTTCCACCGAAAACTTCGGTCGTAGGCACCAGGGGAACCTTGCTTTGTCCTGGGAAAAGTAAAGATGTTCTGGAACCTGTGTAACTTCTCAAAAATTAACAACATATCTTGTTGGCCCTTAGGAGAGTTGGTGCTATGTTAAAGATAAGTAAGGTGAGGCATAAAAAAAAGGAAGCACGTACCATTAAGATCTTCTGTAGATTTGAGGAGTAAAAAGAAAAACTAGAAATAAAGCCAGACTCTTGCCTTTAAAGAGAGAGATTAAGAGAGAGAGAGAAAGAAGGAGGGAGGGAGGGAGAGGGAGAGAGACAGAGAAAGAGAGACTGACCACTGGTGTTATTCTGAATAAACAGGGTGGCCCTTCCATCCTCATCCCTGCTACTGTGATATGGAAACTGGCCACTAGAGGGCAGTAATAGCAGCTGAACACAATAAACCAGGCCTGTGCTAACAAATAATGCTGCCGCCTTTGGAAAGTTCTTACCCTGACTCAAACCCCGGGCGAGGATCCTTAAAGGTGGTGGTGCGAGTGTTGTGGTCCACGAAGTAGCGCACCCCCTCGCTGGTGTACTTCATCTCCCACCCTGGGGGTAGAGCGGGCTCCTGGATCATCCTGCAAACACGGAAAGAGAGAGTTTAAGGGCTGGCCTCACCTTCTGGGCCTCAATGCTTAAGGGGCTACAACCACCAAAGTGCTTTTTCCTGTTTTCACCCAGGTTCTGCAAAGCCTTTGAGCATGGGCCTTGAGGAAATGCACCTGGCATCACCCAAGTCATGAAGACAGTTCTGCAGCAGAGAGGTCATTTACTGTCCCAAGGCCAAAGAACTAGCCCTAGGTGGATGGCCGTGGCCTGAGTGGCCATCAGCAATCCTAACGTGCCAACTGCTCCAGTCCCCAACTAGCTTCTAGGGATTGGGGGTAGTCTAGGGTATTTGGGGTGTCCCTCAATCCTTCTGAAATCGTATCAGCAGCCTGCCCAATCAGCACAGGAATCCATCAGGCCACTGTCCATCCACCAGGAAGGTCAACTTAAAGAGCTGCTTTTAAGCTCTCATTAGGCCGACACTGTATCATGAGGATCTCCAAGCTCTTGTGTGTGGCTGAAGGTTCCAGAACATTGACCATAGAGGATAAATGCAGTCCAAGGTCACATAGCCAATGCTGGAGCTATGCAGGGCCCAGCCCCACTCCCATCTCGTGTCCTTACCCCTGGGTACGAGGGTCCTCCCACTGGGTAGTGCGTGTGTTATGGTTCACGTAATACACTCGTCCATTGTCTTGTCTCTTCTCTGCCAGGGAGAAGAAAGAAAAGAGGACAATCAGATTCAGACATCCTGAGCCATGCCCTTTCCCCTCTGGCTCCTCCTTCTCAAGTACTGGGTCTGAGTTTCTGACCCTGTTTCTGACTTGTTAGAGAAGTTTAACCAGCACAAGCCTGGCTCACACACACATCTGTCACTAACAAAAAGGACAAAGAGAATCTTCCCCTATGGGGGCGTGGAGGAGGGACAGACACATTTCCAACTCAAGATCAAGCACCGTCTTTGGTCAGCTGGTTCGGTGGAGGGAGAGGGGCAGTGTGGCATCGCGGAGCGGGAGCAGCTCAGCTGAAACCAAAAGCCTAATTGCATCCAGCTGTGTGCAAAGTGGAGGCACGGCTGCCTCCCAACCCTGGTCTCACTCCCACCAAGTCTGTGACAGCTGGTCTCTCATCCTGCAACTGCTCTGTCCACAGGATGCAGATGACCCAGGTGCCTGTAGGGGGGCCACATTTTCCTCACATCTCTCTGATCAGTGCTCAGAGCCTATATACCCTCTACTTTATCTTTTTTTCTCCAGCTTAAAGGTAAAGTTTTGTTCTAAAATTCACATCCCATAAAACCTCTACATTGCATATGTGCAAATAAATACCAGGGGCCATGGCACTTGACACCCATCTTGTTCGTACACCTAAGTGTGTGCTTCCAGACAGGGCAGTGTTTGGGAGCTCATACATTCTTATTTCCTCTGGACAATCTTTACTTTCATACCCTTTACCGGCTCAGGTCCTCTAGGGAGGGAGTCTGGGCTTCAGGGGCAGACCCAACTCTAGCTGGAGATTCTGGACCTTGATAAAGGTTAAAAGGGTCACCCTATCAGCTCTGGGTGGCAGGCAGGCAAAATTAAGGACAAGGCTCTGAACCCCAGGCAGGTCCCCTTTCCCAGGAAGCTTCTAAGCCTTCAAATCTGTTACTGTCCTAAAAACAAATGATGCTAAGGGCCCTCCCTCATTTCCGATAGGGTGAAATTAAAGGAAAAAAAAATCAGTTCAAGAAGCTACAGGAAAACTAAAAGCTGAAAAATGGGTGGCAGGCAGGCAAAATTAAGGACAAGGCTCTGAACCCCAGGCAGGTCCCCTTTCCCAGGAAGCTTCTAAGCCTTCAAATCTGTTACTGTCCTAAAAACAAATGATGCTAAGGGCCCTCCCTCATTTCCGATAGGGTGAAATTAAAGGAAAAAAAAATCAGTTCAAGAAGCTACAGAAAAACTAAAAGCTGAAAAAAAAAGAACTGGCGGGGGCCCAGCCCTCTCCCCTCAAGTATCAGGCTCCAATGTTCCTAGTACCGTCCGAGAGTGCTGGTCTCTGTCTGCCTTACCTGGTACCCATTACACAACAGGCAATTTAAAAACAAAAAAAAAAGGACAGAAAGAAAAGAGGGAGCCTGGAATTGCTACAGAGCTGCCACCACCTCAGAACTGCTGTGAGACTGTCCCACAGAAGACAGGCTTCCCAAGAGGGATCTGAGGGGAAGGAGGGGCCGCTCCCAGCCAGAAGCTTCTGCTTTGAACTAGATCCTCCACGTCTGCTCTGCCAAGGGCCAAAGCCAAAGCTAACCACCAGGCTGGGGGATCTGTCCAGCCAGTTCGAGGCCTGCACCCTTGTCTCTGGCACTGCTCCCTGTGTGTGGGGCCTCTTATGGTCCTGGAACTGCTCTGCTGCATACGATTTCATAGTTTGGGTGCTGGGAGAGTCCCTAAGGGCATCTACCTCGACCCCATTCAGGAAGAAATCAACTCGGAAGCATTTGGTCACATGCCAGGGTCAGGACAGCAAAGGAGATAAGGATCTAAACCTCAGACGTCCTGACTCCTAGGCTGGTGCTCAAGGAGGACCATGGGTCTTTCCTGAAGGAAAAGAAAGGGACACAGGACTGAGCAGGACACCACAGTTGACTTGACAGCAGGCTCATGCTGAAGGCAATTCTTGTTTGGTTTTGCTGATCTTTCTGTTCAATGTTAACTCTCTCTGGAGGGGAGAGAGAGCCTGCCACAGCCCTGGGGAAGCCAACACAAAGGCCAAAGGATTTGATTAGGAAGGTTCCCTGGCCATCAGCCAGATGTTCTTTTTTCTCAGTTTCATACCATTATACGCTTGTGTGTTTTCCTGATCATTTGTAAACAGCACTGACTTTGATCACGGCTCCTATTCTCATCTCAAATATTTCACACTTGGCTTCTGGGGGCTATTTACAAGTCCTTATAGCTGCTCTTGGTGACTATCATTCAGCAGAACTGGTTCAGAAATAAATCACTTGACTTCACAGAGCCAGGAGCAACTTTGAGTCCCCAGCTCTAGGTCAATGTCTACTGGTTGCCAAACAACATTACAGATTCTTGTTTAATCTGATGAGTTTTCCCCTGCCGAACCAGAGATCTCATGTTTAACTCTCTCACACTTGACTAGCTGCCAGTCTCTGAGATAGCGATGACTTTTCCTTGGCTCAGGGAGTCAGGTGGATCGTCTATGTGCATAAGGGATTCCCTGGCAGAAAACCAGGAACTGTGTGGAGGCCTAACGGATATATCCCACCAGGAGGACTAGGAGGTCCTGCCTGGCTCTGGAATGCAGCGGTAATTCACTAAGTGATACACTGCAGGTCCAATGGAGTTGATGCAGCCTCATAAATTACTACCAGGGAATAGCTGTGTCTGCACCAAGAGGATCCAGCTCTAAAACTGCACTTTTCCAAGTAGACGCTCCTCCTATCATTGTCAGCTTCTCCACTTTCTCTGGGGAATACTACCCCCCACCGCCCCCGCAACTTAATACCACCCATGAACACCACTACACCAGCATTTACTGTCTTCTGCTGGCCTAACCAATAAATTAAACCTGATACATGCCAATTCCCACCCTCTTTAGCTCCCAAAGGTGCTTGCCTATTGAAGAAAACCTTGAATGAGCTCAGAAATCCACCAAGTACACTGAATCTCACCATCTCTAATGAACCCTTTTGAATGGTCACTCATCCCCAGAATAGCCACAAAGCCCGTAATTTCTCTCAATAAATTAAACCAATAAATTAAACCTGATGTCCATCCCTCAAATTCATTATTGCAAATCACACCAAGGACTTAGAATAGGTAAGCGGTAGCGGCCAAGGACAAGGAGAACCAAGTGTGGTGTCATTAACGAGCAATGATGCACTTTCACAGATTCGCCACCCAGCGCCCAACTCGCTTCCCTCTGGCCTCTTCCACAGCTGTGTCACAAATAAAAAGGTGGCTTTCATTAGTCAAAATTAGGCTGAAGTCCTCCAACATCTCAGCTGTAAAGAAAGGTTTGGTAAGGTGGCTCCTTCGGATCGCTAGGCCACAGACCTGAAACAAATGCACTTGGGAATCAGCCGGTGTCAAACATCTTAGTGATAGGATGGGTTGATTGTTGGGTAGACACCTTGAAAGTCAGGATCAGAACCCAACAGTCCCACAGTCACTCGGGGACTTCTTTCATAGTGTCACCCTCCTTCAACTACAATGGGTGAATGCTACAGGGCGCAGGGGAACCCCATTACTTTCCCAGCTTCCCAGCCTGCAATTGCTCTGGCTGGGCACCCCCAGAGAGTGAGCTAGAGAGACGCAAAATGGAAAACCGAGGGGTGAAAGCGAGGGAGATGCACAGAGAGAAGACAGAGGGTGGCGGGCATCCGCTGAGGGCACAGAAGTAGGACTCAGTACTTACCCCAGCCAGGAGGGAGGGGGCCCAGCGGGTCATGGTCAGTTGAAGCACTCGAAGACTAAACACAAGAAACAGCAGAACACAGAGGTTTTTAAAAAGCTGCTGGTTAAAAATAAATTGATAGATAAAAATAAAAATGCCAACAACTCATTTCCACCTTTGGGCTCTTTGCAGAGGAGACAGTGGGGCCTTAGGTGGCATTTGCTCCTCTCAAAAGTCTTTTTCAAAAAAGAAAAACTGAAAAAGAACCATGCACACTGAAGACTCAGATGGGTTTTAGAGAAACTGTTGCCAAGGGGAGGAAGAGGTGTGCAGATGAAGGCGGGCTGGGGCCGTGGAGGAGGCAGGACGGCCGCAGGCATGGCAGGAGGGCCCAGAGCCGGACGGCCAGCAAGGCGCTGCCGGGGGAGCTCAGCCCAGTGCCTCTGCTCAGCTCCTGCTCCCGACGGCCAAGGCGACTGAAATCACCACCACCTCCAACTTTCTCCAAGAACCACACACGGGAGGGGAAAAAATATCACAGGCCTTTCCAATGAAATCATTCCCACAAGCCCTGCCCACGCCCAGAGCTTCCTGGCTGGGGGCTGGGCCCTCATCCCTCCACCTCCCTCCTGGGTGCTGGGAGAGGGAGTAGAAGTGGTGTGCACAGCCCAGACTGAGGGCACATTCAGGTCCCAGGCCCCTCACCTCCCCCAGGAATGTTTTCCTTCCCTTCACAAAGCACCTTTATTCTCCTCTGGCCTAAACCTGAAGTTACTCAGTGTTCTGCGTGTGCCTGTCTGGGGAGGTTGGGCTGGAGGGAGGTGGGGCTGGGGGCGAGGTGGCGAGAGAGAAGGGGAGACAGGAGAAAGAAGGGGGAGCTGATTCCAGGACTTGAGGGTCACTGTTTACATTAAAGCCCCCCCCCCCGCGCGCCCCAACCCCCAGCCTAATTCTGCTGCAAGGTCCCAGGGGCAGGGTTGCAGTGGACTGAGAGCTCTCATATCCTGCGGGGAAGGTGGTGCTATCAAAAACTTTTCATAGTTAAATAAAACAAGTATTGTTCTGTGCTTTATTTCTCTCTCTCTCTCTCCCTCTCTCTCTCTCTCTCTCTCTCTCTCTCTCTCTCTCTCTCAAGCATTTTTATTTCACTTACTAAAATTTAATCGTTACATTAGGGGATCAAATTCTCAATGCATACTTCGGGCTGCCTGGCTGGCCCCTCTGGAGCCACACACAGGCACAAGGATGAATGGAGCTCAGTCAGGGCTTGAGAAAACATTGGTGCAACTCAACTGCCAATGAACCCCCTCTCGCAGCCCACCCTCCACCCCCGGCTGAAAGGACAGAGAAACTTTCTTTCCAAGGTGGCAGCACAAACAACTCTTCCAAAGCAAGTTCCAACAAAGACGTTTAAGTCTTGAAACCATAGGTTCGTTCCTTGATGGGACAGAGCCCCCTTTCAGCAAAGGGCCTCCTACCCAGCAGAATGAAACTGCAGAAAGGTGCGGGAAGCTGGGCCGTCCTCATTTAGGGCACATTCCCATCAGCGTAACGTGGAGGACGTGCTCTTAATCTCCACCACAACTCAGGTTTGTCTGATGGTTACTGGAAAAGATCTCCCAGATTCACGGAGGTCGTTTGGGTGGAGGTGGGGTGCAGCATCTCATAAAATCCAGGTACCTCCAACTTTGTAGTTAATACATAAGAACGGTATGTATAAAAGCATTCAGCAACATAAGTAAAGGAACTAACGTATAAAACACACATGCATTTCAAATAAAGAAGCGAAATACGATGCAATGAGATAAGTACTGAGCTGTAGCAATGTCCTTGCCAAAGGGAAGAACTATAGAAAAGGTCATTTAAAGAATTTAAAGGAAGTGTTTGGTGCAAAACTATGTGCTGCTTCAGGTCTTTTTTTGAAATAAGTGGATAAACCAAAAAGGATTCAGGGCTCTGATGGGAAATTAGCTCCCTACTGGTACCAACTGGGCTTTAGTCGACTTATGGTCATCTTTTGTTTAACTCTACAAATCAACCAACCAAACAGTCTTTACTGACAGCCTCTGTGATCTGCACTGAACTAGAAACAAAAAAACATATTTATCAGGTGGCAAATATTCCCTTTCCTAATACCACAGCATCGAGAAAAAAGGCACATGACTTAAGAACAGCCAATCAGATGCTCCCATCCCGAACTTGTAGGGACCGGCATGAAAGCACAGGGGCTGCTGGAGAGTCCTCACTGCTGCAGAGAGTCCAAAATGCATTGGAGCATCAGTGTTTAATGGCAGTAGGACAGGGCGATGATCTATGCAAACTATTCCTTTGTGTTGCCTACCCCAGGTTTCTGCCAGAGCTTGGTACTTCGGAATTGTGTTAATTCTATGAACTACCCAATTTCCATTTGATAAATTCCTTTTCTGCTTAAGTTTAATCAAGTGGGTTTCTACTATTCATCAAAATGAACTCTGACTAGTATACAAAGCACAGGGAGAAAAATTTAAAAATTTATCAGCCCTTTTCTTAATCCTTGCCTTTTTTAATGTCATAAACTTCATACAATGTCAGCTCTCTTGTTAAAGTGGTTTTTTTATTTCTTTGGCATCTTCCTATTCTCATTTTATCAGATCCACTTCCCCCGCAACCCCCAAACCCAGAAGAAGGGGAGAGAAGAGGAAACAGAGACGGGAGAGAAACCAGAGATTTATAAACAGTACATGAAATGGGGTCAATGGAAGCTGATGCTCATAACGACTTTACCTCTTACACTTAAAGCAAAGCACTTGACTATTTTGGATATTTGTTTCCCAATGTACATAGTATGACTTTAAAAATAAGAAAAAGAAGTTGACAGAAGCGAAGGAGAAAGAAAAAGTAAAAGCCACACATCATGGCCAAAAAAAACAAAACCCCAAACCCCACATCTCTAATGAACCAATGAACTGCCCCTTCTCTTCTACCACAGTCCCCAAAATGAGAGATCCCAAGTGTTACCTGGGGCACAGCTAGAAAAGTCCAGAAAAAGGGGTGTGGGGGTGGTTATCGTCAGAAAAGAGGTCCTAGGATGTGCAGGTGATTCTAAGAGACAAGACAGTTTCCTTTATTACTAGGAACAGAAAGAAATGGTGTTGAATAATTTTCCTGGTAACTGTCCCTGGATTGGGAGATCTGGGATGCAGGCCACGAGCCAGACAGCTCACGTGAGTTCAAGTCCCTCAGGGACTAAACACTAAGTTCTAGTAATATTTTAAGATACAAACTCAGAAATAAAGAATGTCTAGCAAATACAGCCGAGGGCAGGAAAGGCTCTGGGAAGGGCATAAAGGTTATAATGTGGACGGCAGGCTCCTTTTTTTTAAAAGATATACCCAGTGGGTGCAGAACGAAATGCAGGTGCTTGAGAATTCAATCCAAGGGACCCTTTACAGAGTAAGAACCAAGTTGTCTGTTTCTGGATAATGCAATTTGACATCCTCACATTAGGAGTCATGGAATGATTTCTGCTTCAGTCCTGCTGACACTAGATGCCTCCTCCAGTTATTAGGAGAGGACCAAAGTGGGAGTAAAGGAAAAGGTGTCACAGAAATAGTAGTAGGCTGTGAGATGGGTCTTGTCACGATACACAATGTGTACAACCAGGCCTGGCATCCTCGGTGAACTGCATTGGGAACATGAAGCAGAGGGCAAGGTGAAATCGCACAGGCCAGCACAGTATGTGCATGATGATCACAAGCAACATATGCACTGGAGGCATTGGGAAAAGGGAGATATCAGAAATAAGAGAACAGTGACAGAGACCGAACAAACTGTGTTGAGGTGGACAGCAAGAAAGAATTGTGGGAGACTAAGATCTGGAGTCCCTTGATTTCCATTTTGAACTATATTTCGTGTTCTCTGCAAGGCAGCAAAGAACAGGTATCAGTTTCAGCCCCAAAAGAGGAGGGGAGGGGGGAGGAGGAGGAGGCAAAACCACTGGTATAGTATCAGGTCTTAAGTTTACCGAGTCGAACCTTGGGCCAAGGCCAAATCCTGAAATAACTCTATGAAAGCAACTCTTCTTAGTTGGAACAGGACATGGCACCATACAAACAAGAGGGGCAAACCAAACCCGGGGGGAGGGAAATCAATAGACATTGAAAGCTGACCCAAAAAAGATTCCTACCACGTTTTTCAATATGAGTCCTGTTTCAGGGAGAAAAGGGAATTGTCACTTCCATGCTGAACCCTCCTGAATTCCCAACCAAGCTGAGAAAACCATTTTAGAGTACTCAGAGAGAAAATTTTTTTTTAGTGCTTAATTTTTACTTTTAGGGGACTCTCCTAGTCAAAGTTTTGCTTCTGCAGGTCCAGGATGACGCTGCTAAAATGAGAGAGGCAGGCACAAGGAATGAATGTGCCAAAACACCAACCAGACATGAACTCCAGAATCTTCCCTTTCCCATATCAAACACCTCGGTCAACCTACAGAACCTACTTGGTGCATGGTAAAGAAGAAAAAAGGATTCCTTTAATAGATTCTTTTTGAATTTGAGAAGTTGAGTAAGCAGGGAGACAAAACCATGTGAGACTACTAAAATGTGTCCTTGTCTTTAAATGAAAGGACAAAGAGTCTATGGCCATGCTACCCTGAACAAGCCCAATCCCATCTGATCTTGGAAGTTAAGCAGGGTCAGGCCTGGTTAATACTTGGATGGGAGACCACATAGGAAGACCAGGTGCTGTAGGCATAAAAAATAAAAAAATAAGGGACTGTAAGCTGACGAGGTCCGAGGTCCTTGCAATCTGTGAGGTCAAACAAGGGTTGCCTCGCCTAAAAATTTTTTTGGGCCTGGTTAGTACTTGGATGGGAGACCACCTAGGAAGACCACCTAGGAAAAGAAGGTGCTGTAGGCGTAAAAAATTAAAAAGAAATAAGGAATTGTAAGTTGACAAGGTCCTTGCAATCTGTGAGGTCAACCAAGGGTTGCCTTGCCAAATAAATAAATATAAATAGATAGATAGATAGATAGATAGATAGATAGATAGATAGATAATAAAATATCAAAGGACAAAGATGCCCAGACCTTCCCAGTTTTGCAAGCCACGACCACCAAGAAAATGGCAGGTAAGGTCTTTGGGGACCAGCTCAAAAGGAACAATTTCTGAAATGCAGAGAATGACCAGATCCAGGCAAGTTTTGAACGACCAGGTCTCATCCAGCACCCCAGAACAGGGTGCCAAGCATGTGTGAAAGGAGTGGGAGACCTGGCATAAGAATGTAAGCAGTGCTGTACCTGGTAGACCACCAGGGCATAGGTTGTAGACAGGCATTATGGTTACTTGTGGGGGCAACTTAATGTGACAAACACCGTGATTTCTGCTCATCCATGCTAAAGAAATTGGGGTCCTCATCAGTTTCCTCACTATATGTTGAACAATCAGACCCCAAAGACAGAAGAGAGAACAAACCAGCCCAAGGAGTTGCCACCATGCCTTGTGGTTGATGATTTAGCTCCTGCCTTGGGTGAACAGAGAAAGAGCTGCAAACAAAGGCAAAGCTGATGATGAACTCAGTTAAATAGAATTAAAGATTTTCTGAGCTATCTCACTAGGGTAGTATCTGATTTATAAACAAGTGTGGAGTTAAAGTTCACTTCAAATAGAAACAATGTGGGTTAAACACAGTGATTAAATGTTGTGGACCACTCAGAAAGTTTCCAATCTCCAATCCACCACACCCTGTGCAAGTTCTCCACAGACCCCAAACTTCATGTTCAAGGTGCTCTGAGAAAATGAACTCAGAGTTCCAACCTGGGAATCCCTTCTCTCCCTTCCAAGGAGGCTGTGTAGCCAAGCTCCCCGCATGCTACCAGGTCGATGGTGGAGGCTCCAATGGGATGAAGACTCAGGAAGGTGGGGCTGAGAGGAGCCCTAAAGGAATACAGCATGGGAGACCACTAGAACTACAGTACTCTGAATTCTGAAGTAGAAAATTTAAATGTTATTCTATAGGTAATGACCACAGAAGTTTTTGAGCCAGTAATAAAAAATGACAGTGATAAATGTAGAGCAAACCCCCTCTTCCTTAGCCCTCCACAGTGATTTTTTAAAAAGTGATGAAATGACAATGATATTTGAAAACTGTTCAGGTGGGAACAGGCGGTACAGATGGGAGGAGAGAGAATGCCAGCAGAGAGAACAATTCAGAAGCTGCCCTAATCACTCTGGTAGGAGAGGCAGAAGAAAATCAGGAAGCAGAGAGAAGGAGGTTGATCTAGACCAGAGGGTCAATAAACATTTTCTGGAAAGGGCTGGAGAGGAAATATTTCAGGCTTTGTGGGCTATATGGTCCCTATTGTCACTACTCAGCTCTGCTGCTATAGCGTGAAAGCAGCCACAGTTAACACCTAAACTACAGGCGTGCTCGTGTACCAATAAAACTGTATTTACAAAACCAGATATGGGCCAGTTTGGCCCACTGGCCATAGTTTGCCAACTCCTGATCTAGATAACCTTTAAAGGTCCCTTTATCCTTGAGAATCTGTCAGATAATAAAGATCTAAAGAAAAACGGAAAGAGAAGAATTTGGGTGGTTGCTCTGATTTGTAAAGGTGAGGTCTGGGAGAGGTCACAGCTGACCTTCAGGTTTAAGTCAGGGTAAATGGACTTGGATTGGAGGGGCCAGAAGAGAAACTCAGTGTTGGAAGAAAGATGGTGTATTCAGCTTCAGATACATTGAGTCCTTAGACACAAAGGCTGGACATTGAGTTTGTAAGTTCGAAACACTGAAGTTTGAGGAATTTCACTGTGATGAGTAAAATCTCCAGGATCACTGACAATTTCCCTGCTCACCAAACAAGTCAATGCAGAACATGAGAAGCTGCACTTTCTGCAGTGCTGGGAGGCTCCCCTCCCTCGTGGCAAGTCCCTGCCCTCTCACCTGGTAGAGAAATCTTTGGCTGAAGTGCTGCATGGCACCCTGGAGCTGATTCCGCTGTGACTGCCACTGCTCGTAGTTCCGCACATACTCGGCGGTGGGGCGCTGCCAGGTGGTGGTACGAGTGTTGTGATCCACATAGTAAAACCTGCCTCGGGGGTCTGTGCGTTTTTCCCAGCTGGAAACATTAAGCTCAGCATGAATATAGTGACCAGCCCACTCCTACCCTTAAATTCTAGCAAAATCTCAAGGTGGGTGACAAGGAGACACCAAAGGAGGGCGAAGTGCAATCTCTGGCACAGGAGCTTGCTTGGTTGCTCTGGGGAGGCACAGCCAGGCAAGCCCCAATTACAGAGGCTTCTGGGAATAAAGATGATTATAGCAAGCAGACATTTGTGGTTGCATCCTTAGCAACTAATCCCGCCTTACCATTAGCTCCTGATTTCCATTTAGGGGATCCATGTGGTTCTGGGGTAGCCGATTCTACTCCCAACCTCAGAGTTGAGCTGTTAACTGGACCAGGAGTGGGCATTTGACCTATGCTGGCCAATCCAGGTAGATCTCAGGACTTTTGCTAACGATTCTGGGGAAAATGGTCTCTCTTTCTTGCTGGACTGAGAAAGCATGCAGTCCTGGGAGCCACTGGCTGCCATCTTAGACTCAAATATAATATAAAATTGACCCAGTGGATGGCAGAGGAGAAAAATGAAAAATGAAAAAAAAAAAGAACAAACAAACAAGAAAACAACCCAGCTTCTTGGTGATACTGTTCAGCCACTATATTAGGCTTCACTTAAAACTAGAATTTTCAGTTACATGAGCTGGTAAATTCTCTCTACTATTTAAGCCAATTTGGATCTCACATTATGTTACTTGCAACTGAAATTATCCTGATACAAGGTGCCAGTGAATACATGTTACACATTCATGAGAAGCTTGGTGCAAACAACAGTAAAACTCTCCATGTTATCTTTAGTGAGGAAGCAATCTTTCCAAAGTTAGTCCTAAAACGCCCATGGGCAAAACAGGGCTAGAATGCACAGCGAAGTCCTTAGCTGTGCTTGCTAGATCTAATTTCATTTCTATGCACACAAGGAAGAGATGATCAAAATAAAGTAAGAGAGGGACCTTTGTGGGGAGATGAAAATTTTTTACATTTTGATGGGTTACATGAGTGTATACATTTGTCCAAACTCAGCAAACAGTACATCTGAGATCTGTGTATCTCCCTGTATGTAAATTTTACTTCAGTTTTAAAGGTGAATTTGAATCTAATCAAGCCTCCAAATCTAACTACCAGTTTACAAGAAAGACAAGGGATAAAGGAGCATGTTACACAACACCACAAGGTCACAACCAGCCACATCCAGAATATGAGAAACTCTACAAGACAAATTCCCAGGATCATCAACAAGTAACTGACCCCCCAAAATAAGAAAGGGTGGGAGAATTTATAGGTTAAGAAAGACTTATGAGACATATCAGCTAAAAGCAATGTGTTGATTCTGAGTTTAAAATCAAAGTATAAAAACACTTTTAAGACAATTGGGAAAAATGAAACACAGACTGGGTATGACATGAAATAAGGAAATACTATTCATTTTGTTGGGTGGTATAATGGTATTTTGGTTATTAAAAAAAGAAACCTCACTCATTAGAGACATGCGTGATATATTTATAGGTCAGTGGATATGATGTCTGGGATTTGCTTTAAAATTCATAGTCCCCCCTCCTGAAAGTGGGAGGTCAGATGAAACAAAATGTTATTGTTAGAACCAGGTGAGGGTTACAAGGATTTATTGTACTAGTCTCTGAAATTTGGTGTAAGCTTGGAATTTTCTATTATAAGTATGAAGTGGGGAGAGGAGAAAAGGAGTTTAAAAAAGATAAGAGATACCACTTAAGAAAATAGGATCCCACTGCAAAGAGAACCGAATATGGATTTCTACTGTATGATTCCAAACTGTTGGAGAGTCTTTGTTCCCTGCCTACCTTCTCATTTCATCTTCTCTGAATTCTTACCTTAAATGACTATCATGCTTCAGTCCAGTATCTTCCTCAGTTTTTGGGGTTGGCCTCCTAGTTGACTTCTTTTTTTGCTATCCTTTCAATGATTTTTTTAAACTCAAAGCCTCCCTAAACATGGCTTCTCCTCAAGCAGTTTCCAGTCTCATGGTCAGTTCCCAGATTGTGTCTCGATTCCGCCCGCTAGACTACACTGCCGTCACGACCTGCTGTCACTTTGGATTCAACTAAACACCACAGCTCTCTCCCAAACCTTAGTCTTTCCCAGTCTTCCTCATGTCTGTCTTTTTCTCAAGGGTGAAACCACGCCATCATTCCCAACTCTCTTCCTCTCCTGCTGTCAGTAAACAATTCAGCCTAAAGGGTTCTTATTTTGTATCTCCCTGCCCTTGACTTTCCTTTTCTATGTCCAACTACCCTTGAGATGATATTCCCACTCTGCTCCAGCCTAAAAACTGCCATCAGGGTAACCATACAAGACTAACCTCTTATGTCATGCTCCTGCTCAAAACTTCAAGTGACTCCCCACTGTCTTTGAGTCAAACGCTTTAGTTACTAGTCAAGGCTCACAATAACTTTCCCACCTTTATCATAAATCCTCAACTAGTGATTTTTATTTTTTATCAAAGAAACCATGTAAATATAGTTAAAAATGCAAAAAGTACTACAGGGAATACAATGAACAACAGTGTTTCCTGCCCTACCTCTCCCCATCTATTGCTGATTCCTGCTCCCCAGAAGCAACTATTTTCAACTCTTGGCTGCTTCTTCTACTATTCATAGCTATATTTCTAAGTAACATGCTTATTCCATGACTTCTTGACTTCTGCCATTTAGATATTATAGACTTTGCACTATAAAGATAAGGATTTAGTTTTTGCATCCCACACCCCAACACACACGGCCTTCCTCTGCCTCATTCTCCCAAATAGAAAATTATTAAATCAATATTTGGAGTTTATATTATTTTCCTCTGAAGTTAAGAACTGCCTTGTTTCATTCTGCTTGGCTTTCAAGATCCTATCACTAGTTCACTTCCAGAATCTCACTAATTCACAAATAGGACAGGTGGCCTCTCAGTGTCATTTATCTCTTAGCCACATCTCTCCTGGAACCCTTTGTGAAATGTGGACAGTTGTCCTCCAGGCCTGCTCTCCATTATTGTCCTGAGTCGTCTTCCCTCACCTTCCTCTTAGGAATGTGTTTGGCCCCTGAATTGAGTCCTGTGCCCTGAATCTCATATCTTCTTTCTTAGTTTCCTTTTGTCTGGTGGAATAAATCGTCTCGTAGCTTCTGAGAAAGGATGCACCAAAATTAAGTTTTTGAAATCCTGCATGTCTGAAGATGCCTTTATTTTGAGCATCACACTTAAGTGTTAAAATGACTAAAAGTTGATTTCTAGAAAGAAAATGATTTTCCACCATTATTTTGAAGGTCCTGCTCCATAGATGTTGTTGAGAATAAGGAGGTCAATTTTGATTCCTGATCCCTGATATGTAAACTATTTATTCCCTAGGGAAGTTTCTGAGATGTTCTCTTGGCATTCCAAATTTCCAATAGGATGTGGCTTGGAATGGGTCTTTTTTCATTCTCTGGGCTGGGAATTTGGTGGTCACTTTGAATATGGATACTGTATCTTTCAGTTCTGGCAATTTCCTTTTATTCTTTCTTTGATAATTTCTTATCCTCTATTTCTCTCTTCTTTCTTGCTAAAACTACTATTCAGATATTGGATCTCCTGGACACATATAGTTTTCTAACCCCCAACTTTATCTTTCAATCCTTCTGTTAATTTTTTATTTCTGCTGTCATATATGTTAATTTCTAAAAAGCTCTTCTCATTTTTTTCTTGTTTTCTGCATGGTTTGTTTTATAGTCTGTTCTTGTTTCACAGATGCCATATTTTCTCCCAAATCTTTGGAGATATAAATAATAATTTGGTTTTACTTTTTGAAGTTTTTTTCTGCTCCCTACATTGTTTTTACCAAGTCCCTTTTTCTCTGTCTGCTGGTCTTTGGCTGTTCTTTGACATTTAAAAGTGAGCCACTAAAACACTGATTGGAAGCAATGTGTGCCCACATGGATGCTGGCCAACTAGAGGCTTCATTCAGCTGTTTCTCTAGAAGATCCTCAAATTCATAATCCATAGTTGTCTTCCCTTAGACTGGTCACTTTCCCCAGCAAAATACTTTCCCATCGTTAGCCTGGGAATAGCATCCCTGCTTAATCCTTCTTTTTTCTGAGTTCGTCCCTGCCTTCAGCTATGGCTGTGCCCCCAAGCTGGTTCTGCTCTCCCATGAGCTTCTTATTCTAGTAGCGGCCATAAGGTTGCACTTGTGTGTGTATGTGTGTGTGCACCTGTATACATGTGTGGAGGAGAGATGGGAGTAATTGTTGACAACCTAGGAATCTAACTGTTCTCTGTACAGATTTTAAACTGAACTTCAGGTTTTTAGTCTCATTACACACAAACACACACATCCCCCTGTATCTCCCATTGCTGAGGCTTTCCAGGGCTCCATGGCACAAACTGGCTGGCTTCCTGGTGGATACCCTAAACTGCAGGGCTGGGTTTCAGCTTTCTCAGCTCTATCATTTATCTATGAGCGACTAAACTTTGATTAACATTTCTCATATGCTGCTTCTCTTCCATTCCTTAACTGTTGATGGTTCATACTTTTTTATACCTTTATTGCCATTTTAGTGGGTTTTCAGGAAGGAATGGAAATAAACATGTTCGATTCCCATGTTTAAGTAGAAGTCCTCTGCACTGGTGAATTTCAAACTTATAAGAAGCATAATCTCACCCTTGAGTTCAGATGTCTTATGCAGAATCACAATAGACAAAAAGAACAGTGGTTGGAGCCCCAGTCAGCCCTTTCACGCTCTGCGGTTCCAGCGGGCACCTCAACCAAAACCAGGTGCCTTGCTGGACACACTTTGAGCATCTTTGTTTCACACAAACCTTCCACTCCAGCAAAACGACTCCACACATCAGTCCCTAACTACACCTTTTACATTCACAGAGTTCCTCCAACCTGGTTCGCCTTCCTACAGCCTTCCTTGAAAGACTGAGTTTGATCCACTTCCTTCTGTAAGACATCTCCAACCCCGTGCCCCATGATGATCACTCTCCCTTCTCATCTCTGGTCTGAACATCACCTAAGTGTGATTAAAGAGCAAATTATCACATTCATTTTTAGCTACCAGGTCCACTACTTTTTGCTCCTGGATAAAATAATTGGTCATCATATAAGTATCCCATGGGTCTGAGAAAAGGGGATGGCCATGATAAAGTGAATCCTTTGGCTCAATCTCACTTCTCAGTAATTAGGTCTGCTGGGATAACTTGAAGTTTCGAGATTGCTCTCACCCTAGTAATACTTCCCAGAGGTGGAACTTCTCCCATTAATTAGTAATGAAAGCTTAAGGATTCTGTCCTCTGTGTTCCCTATTACACGGTGGAGTAAGTTCAGAGGATCAAAGGTCTAGGCCTAAAACTCAGGAAGAACTAATAGGCTACGTGGGGTGTGTAGTTGATAAATCATCTGATAATAAATAAATCATCTCTTAATAAATCATCAAAACTATCCTGAAAATAAGAAAGCTGGATCTAGTGTCCCACATCAGTCCTTAAAGAAGAGTAAATCCTCAGCCATCCTCAGAAGATACCATAAATAAATATCTTCATTTAGAGTCCATCCAAATGTTTGCCAGGTCAAGGCCTATGTAACTTATAGACCAGAGGTTATGAGGCAGCAACCAGCACAACCACTTCTTTTAAATACACAAAGTACAAGTATGCAACACATCCTCTTAAATGTCAATGATTAATTTGCAACACAATTGCAGAAATTTGACTATTAGCTGTATATTTGATGACAGTAAGGAAATATTATTAAAAATATAGTGCTTTTATTTTAAATAAGGGAACTTTTAAAGAAATATATGCTAAAATGTGAATATAATGATATGATGTCTGAGATGTGCTTCAAAATAATTTAGGACGGGGTGAAAGGATTATAGATCAGCAGTTGGCAACTTTTTTTCTATAAAAGGCCACAAAGTAAATATTTTAGGCTTTGCGGGCTATACAGTCTCCGTCACAATTACTCAACTCTGCCACTGAGCACAGAAGCAGCCACAGATAATAAGTGAACAAATGAGTGTAGCTGTGTTCCAATAAAACTTTATTTGCAAAAACAAACGGCAGGCCGGATTTTTTCCATAAGCCTACAGTTTGCCAACCTCTGGTACAGATGATGCAAGATTGGCCATGAGTTGATAATTGTTGAAGCTAAGTGCTGAGTATGTGGGGATTCTCTCTACTTTGTGCATGTTTGAAAATTTCCATAATAATATGAAAGTTCCCATATTTTCCTTAATAAAATGTTTAATTTTTTTCTAAGAAGTCAATGTTTAACTTTGGTAACTTCACTGGACTTAAAGTAGAAAAGAGTGAAACTAATGATGACAGATTATGAGTTTCTCTTCCAGAAAGGTAAGGAAAAAAGGAAAACATGAGTATTCTACTGGAAAAATAAAACTGGAAAAATAAAAGCAGCCCGTCCATGGAAATTTGTAGAAGGCAAGGTGGTATTTACCTGGCACATACCTGACAGCTGAACCAAACAGAGCACAAGAGTCCTCCCCACTTCTGACATCCTCTCCCTCCTCAAGCTGAGAAGGGGGAAGTGTTCATATTTTATGCAGGAGCCCTTCATGGTTGCTTTACTGGGAGGTGAGTCTTCACTGAGAGCAGAATACATTCCCTTTTGAAATCTCTCAGGACCAGGAGATGCATGTGGAAAGAACTTTCTGTCCCTGGCAGACAGGGAACCAAACCCCTTCTCCTTGAACTTGGACAGTCTCCCCTCACTTGGAAGCCTCACTCATCCTTTGGTTTTGGAGAACTTAAGCTGTGTTCTCGCAAAGCCCAGCTGAATGAGAAGCACACTGTCTTCAGGGGCTGGTTGGGCACAGGGTGCTGTGAAATGCATCAATACCCTTTCCATCTTAGCCTCCCCATGCCCAATTTTTCCCCAGAGATGTTTAAAAATTCTAGCATGCCCTAAGAAATGAGAGCAGAATTAAGGTAAGTGAAGAAGCAACCAAATTACCCAGGAAAAACTGTCCCTGTACTTTGCTACCTCTGCAGAAAGAGACTGAAAACCTAGTCCTATTAGGGTATCTCAGGGTGAAATGATTAAGGGTATTGAGACAGCAATGACCCAGTAGTCCTCCCCGTCCTTCAGGATCCAACAGCCATAGTAGATCTGAATGCAACTTAAAAAAGCCCATGGCCATCAGTTATGGCCAATATAATACACGTGGGGAGAAGGGAAAATATGAAGAAGGGTGAAAGAATGTAGAAGGGGAAGGCAATGGGGTGGGGGAAGAGAAAGGAGAAGAAAATGGGAGGAAATAAAGAGTTGGTTATGGTGGAGAAACCATTTGGTGACTCTTGGTGCCAGTTCTAGAGTCTCAGGACTTGTCAGTCCATGGCTTACCCTGGAGGAAGAGGCCGTTCCCAGGTGGTGGTCTTGGTATTGTGGTCAACATAGTAGACACGCCCATTGGGCAACTCTCGCTGCTCCCATCTGAAAAATAAAGTTAAGGGAAGCATGAGGTACACTGTTGAAAGGCATAAGACCTTGTTCGAAAGGAAGTCCTTCACTACCGATGTGGCTAATTTGAGAGGAAGCATCAAATATGACATGCAAGATCAACCTAGTTGTCAAACCAGCTCCATACTGTCACTGAAAGTGGCCCACAGGAAAACTTCTTAAGAAAAGAAAACTGTAACAGTTCCCCTGTATGGACTCGCTGTACTAGGATATGCCATCGATTACTCTATATGAATCTACATTCCATAGATTTCCCTAAATTAGTGTCTCTTGGCCATTCTGGGATCAAAGATCTCTTTAGGAATATGATGAAAGTTGAGGACTCTTTCCTTCCAAAATGCACTTACCAAAAACAAAAATTTGTATGTAATTTCTGGGGCTCATAGACCTCTCCTAAAGTTCATCTACGGAAAACTCCATAGCCATTTTAGCACACCTCTTAAAGTCACAACTTATATGACTACCCCTGTTCTCCTAGCATCACATGTGTTCACGATCACATTTCTTTTTAAAATACAGGATTCATTTACAGAAGATCTTTAAAAGAGATCTGGGTCACTCAAAGAAACATAGCATACTGTTATTAATTGACTGTGCTACCCATGTTATTTATTGACTGCTCCATCCAAAAGTCTTGTGTCAGTTAATACGAGATTAGGGTACTGAGGGTGGCTCGTCTGTGCTAATGGAGGAATGACAAGGTAGCAGATGATCCAAAAAGATAATCCACAAACAAAGTCATTACAAAATACAGCCAAGGACCACCCGTTCCCACACTCCAATTACTCCCACACCCAACAGTCTGGCAAGAACTCCACTAACCCAAGAACACAGTAACTGATACATAAAGAATATAGAAATTTACATTTATATAATGATTACTATTGTATAAAAAATGTTAATGGTCCCATTAGCCTTTATGTTTTACACTGATTTTATTTACTTCTACTTTAGGGTACGTCTAAGGGGAGGTGACCTTTTCCAGGAAGCTGATACAGTCAGTTCTGCTGAAACACTTGTTTTGAAAATGCAGATCTATTCCATGTGATTGATATATGAGGGAACACTGTGAACATAATGCAATTTGTTTCTTTATGCATGATTTTACCTTTGAGAAACACTAAATGAACACAGAAGATTTGCCCCAGCTGATAGTCACTTAGGAAAACACAAAAGCCACACGCATCTACCAGCTACCTCAGTTTACCACATTATATGCCATGCCCATCCACATCTGGTGTTATAACTCCTGTCTGATTTCAGATAACTCTCCTTGCACAACTTCGTAACAAGACTCACAAACCCTTCTGACAGTTGCTTTCATAAGCAAACTTCAGGTCTTCTCATGTAAATGTGCCATATTTATTGTAGTGTTATGTATTTCAAACATTTAATATATAAAACTATGCTACAAGCATTATTAGTTTCCTATTTTGTGTGTGTCACTGACAAGTTTTTGAGTGTCATGCCCCTAACACATTTTTCCCATACTCCTTGTGGTTTTTTTATTGTGTGATTTTTACATAGCACGGTAATTTTTATGAACACATATGTTATAGCAGAGTTAACTATACACTGAAATAAACATCCTGACTTCTATTATAAAGCCTGATGTGTCTACTCTGATAGACATTAACTTCATTCAATACCATTTTTAATATATCAGTGGACTGCACCAATCAGCCCCTATAAGGCTAGTTCAGATACAAGATATACATAAGGTTTTTAAGGCAAGGAAGAGAAGAGGGGTGCCATCACACAATGAGCCACGGGCTCATGTTGTACCGCATGCAGTCCTTGTCTCCATCCTTTACGGCAGGAAGAGCCATCGCCATTGAGAAACAGGCTTGGAGAAGCTACATAACTCTTACATGACATTCAAACTCAGCTCTGACTCCCTAGCCCTTGAGTTTTACCACCATGTCATGCTGAGAGGAAGAAAGGAGGAAAAGCAAGGTCAATTGGAATTTACAGGGAACCTACTGCCCGGCAGACAAAGTACCAGGTGCCTTCCCAATTCCCATCTCAAAGTGAACAGCTTTCCCTAGCACTGGAGTCCAGGCAGGGGGCCCTGTAGAATCAAGACGACTATGGAAAAATTATAATGGGTCCACCATGTTCATTTCTAGGCTCTGTTTTAATCACAATCCTCTGTCCAGATATGATCTACCAGAAGAGGTTGCACACCGTGCGTCACTGGCAGCATTAACCCTGGAAGCAGTGAGGTCCAGGAGTTCCACACTCCCATTCCTCAGAAGGGATCAACTAACTACTGGGTTGAGGAGACCCAAACTTGCACTCAAGAACATTTTCTCTCCTGGGCATTCTTGCTCATGGTTCTGGATGAAGTGGATACTGGTGATTTGACCTAGGTGCCCTGGTTCCTCTCACTGTAAAAGGAAAATCCTCAAATTTCATTCAGTATTTTATTAAAAGGGCAGAATCTTCTGGCAGAAGTGACCTGAGAAGTTAAAGATCTTCTCCCTATGGATGTCCCTCTAAATTAAGAACAAAAGAGTAACAAATATTGCCAGCTCAAGAGGCTGGTGTCCCATTTGTGGGCATCTGTGGGGCACCTTTCAGCGGCACAGGCAGGCTAATATACTGTAGCTTCACATCAGCTCTCCAAACTCTTCCTGTCTGCCCAGTAAGAGAGCAAATATGACATCCTTTTTATTCATTTGAATTTGGAAATGAGGAAAGTCTTGAGAAACATACTTGGCTTTAGGGTGAGTACTGAAATACAGAAACTCCCTGAGGCAATGGCAGCAAATGCTTTCATAAGGTTTGTTCATAAGACTTAAGCAGCTGAGAACTCCTCAACCTTCCCTAAGAAGTTAGTTCTATCTCTCCATTCCTTGGCAATTTCGTGGCAGAAAAGCACCAACGAAATTAGCTTGCTCATTTTTCACTCACTATTTGGAAAACTGTCCATGTATGTGGATGGCACTGCCCCTTTAGTAAAGACAAGATATTTATTGTAGCAACTGGAGATAAAAGACACTAAAAGACCTATTCCAAAAATTCTCTTGTTACAATTTTCATCTGATAAGTAGGCTCCTACTTTTGACTTCTTTTATATTTCATTCTGGGCAAGGAGAACACTTTGGTTTTTTAATACTTTGGCTAATATTTTAATTTAAAGATGGGATAACACTTGAAATCTCATGAAGTAAATGCTGTTAATTGACACGGAGGTCTTCCCATACACTGCCAAAAAGAAAATCAGGGTGAAGTCCTCTTTGCTTATATTCCAGAGTTACAGCAGCTCTTTCCCAGTCTAGACAAGATCTTTCCATTCCATCTTTGATCCCAGTTGATCCTAGAAATGAAAGTCTCTCTTTCAGGAACTGTCATTGTCTGGTAAATCTCAATGTCCTCCTATGAACCCTCTTAACTGGCTTAGCTAGAAAAGTAAGACTTTTCTTCCATTACCTTTTTTTTTTTTTTGCTATCTACATTTTTCCTTTCAAAATTGGAGCCCTGCTTGGATTAAATGTCCATGTGGGTCCTCCCTGATCCATGACCTGTCCTAGCTGCTTTGCTTAGAGAACTCTCAACTCCTCCCTTACCTGCACGGCACCTCAGGATTCATACAAATCTCTTCCCTTCATTTATGTGGCACAGTCGGTCAATTCTATTGTTAATCAAACAAGCCTCTTGATTCCCATTTCTCCTCAGTAACTGCTGACCCACATAGATTAAGCCTTCTGACTGTCTTGGTTTGGTCTCCCCGCACCAAGAAAGTGATACTGGCAGTAACCTTTCATCAGCACATCCCTGTCAGGGGTTAGGTTTCTGTGCATTATAAGCATCTTCTTCACACTGAGATTAAAAGGCTTTTCAATCAAACTACCCACGGGTCTCAATACTATATCCTGGTCACGTGGGTCATATCCTCTCCCACTGAATAGCTTTCTTTGATGCACTCAGAAACAGTGTTCAAAGCATCAAGCTTGATTCAGATCCCTCCCCAACACATTGCTCCTTGGCCTTCAAATCAGTAACATTCAGTTGAACCAGAGACTACACAAGGTCTTTGTATCTGAAAGTATTTAAAAGCAGTGTCCATATTCAATTAATCTTAGGTACTTTTTTTAAATCTGAAATTACCTTTGCTCAATGGATTTTACCTGTTCTTTATTCAGTGTATATCGTCCATGCCCATGCCGCAAACCTCTCACTATCAATCCATTATGAGGAAGACATCTAAACATTTATTTCCTATGTTATCCTGAAAGGAAATTGTCTGGCCACCTGAACCACATTTTCTTGTGGAAGGTTTCCTAAAAGGTCTTCAAAAAATTAATTCTCAATGACCTGCCATTATACTGTGTATTCAGCCATCCTGATCAATGTATTTCTTGGTCAGATCCCCCTGTTTGAACAGAATGAGTTTCACCAAGAGTAGGATTAAGGTGGAAAGAGAATTAAAGCTGGATAAGGGGTGCAGGTTAGTATCAGAGATGTTCTCTTAAAATGGCCTTTATAAATTAAATATCAACATGCTCAAAAATTCTACCTTGGTACAAGCATTATTAACTTGTATTATTTATTAATTTGCTAACTCTTATTAACACATTGAGCATTAGTAAATCTGACCCTCATTCAAAATACGCTTTCTTCTCCATTAAAAAACAAAGTCACACCAGAACCTTACACACCCCAAAGAAAAGATGCCTTGATAGTTACTTAGACAAAAACTAAACTTCAGAAAAATACACTAAAAATATTTAAGTATTCTTAAAGCTATCTATGAAAAAATTCAATTTCCTGCAGGCAAAAACTAAATGGAATTAATATTTTCTTACTATATATCCTTATAATAAATGATTGTGAATGAGTCCTATTCCCCAAGCTCTGGCCATTTCCTGGGAGAGCCATAAAATTTATTTCCTCTGTAGAAACATTTTCAGACTGTTTTATAAGTAAGAAATCTGTGTGCAATGAAATACATCTCCTGCTCACTGTTT